TATGGTTCGCGAGGTTTCCATGCTTTCACACAGACATCCTACCAGTTGGGGAGAAGATGTATATGGTTCGCGAGGTTTCCATTGCATGCAAACTTTTTGCACTGAAACATTAGGACTTTGTCCCCTTGAGCTACCTTTAGCAAACAAATTAACAAACAGTTTTTGTTTGTTTTTTAATTTAAAGGGGCTAACTATTAAATAGGTGGGCTTAAGGGCTTACCCCCCACCCCCCACCCCACACGCGCATCGCGTTCTATTTTTAAGTATCTGTTTATACATTTCATATTAATATGTGTATATATACATATATGTACCATGTGGTACATAATAATTGTGACAAAAAATTGTGAAATAAAAACCATATAATTATATAAATATGCACTTAAACAAGGCTTAAGCTGTTTAAGCCGCTCCAGCATTAGAAAAATATAAGAAAGCTTGAACTCCCCCCCCCCCCCCCCCGAATGTTTCTAGGTTTCGACACCCCTGCTGCAGTTTTCAAAGTGTTAGCACCACGATTTATTGCCTGTCAATCTTTACAAAAGAGATGCACCACTTTCCGCTCTGTAACTTAGCAAGTAACAATTCTGACCTGCATATTTTCCCGGAGACCTCGCTTGCCATGCGGACAGAAATCCTCACGCTCACAAGCACCCACAGACCACCCGCCTATTCCTCAAAACTGATGCAGCAGTAAAAGCATTTTTTTTTTAACTTAACAAATGTCTGAGTCTCCCCCCCCCCCCCCCCCAACATCCCCCCCTTTTTTTTCCTCATGCTTATGTAACAGGGTACATTTTAAAGGGGGATAGAAGAAGAAGAGGGGACCTACAAAAGTAGAGAGAGAGAGAGAGAGACAGACGAGAAGGAATAATAGTTAAAGGATGTATAAGAGGACAATAGGTTCTCCTATGTGGAGAGTGTAGTAATAAGTCTACACCTCAAACGATCAGGTAATAGTCAGTGGAGGTATGAAGGAGAGAGGTATAGTTAAGTGGAGTGGTATAAGGACTACAGCCACTAACAATAATAGTACCACTCCTATACTCAACAAACTAACGATGGAATAAAAGAATAACCACTAACAATCACGTTTATTAAAAAACAGAATTACAAATCTCATATTAATCAACTAAGATGACCTTGATGCAAAAGATGTTACACTAAGTTATAAACAAAACGTCCTCACACTATAAAACTCAGCAACTGACAGCATAATCTACTCTACTCAACCATAAACTAGCAAGTGACGCCTAGAATTTCCTTCATTGCTCTACAAATAATAAGCCAAATAACGACTACAATCTAGCCATCTACTCTATTTCCAAATACCGACTGCCATCTAACCATACTGCTGATTTCAGTATAGAGACCAACAATCCTATTTGCCAACCCAGTACAACCATGACAAAAACTGCCATGTCACATAACATCCAGCAATGTTTCGTGCATTCTCTGCCACATATCACAGAGCTTACATAGGTCTGCCATGTCTCCAAACCAGTGACATCTTTCAAGTGAGACTTCGCTCCTATGGCACTGTTCTATCGCCGGAGCCTTTCTCCCGACTGCTTTTACCCAGAACACATCGTCAACTAACCAAACCAAGCCGGTCTTAGTTCATTGAACTGTATTTCCCGCCAAAGATGGATTTCCAAGCCACTTTGCATAATTGGATGGAAAAAAAAACACCTTATGTCGTTGCCTTTGTTCGTTGTTCTGCCTATTAATTTATGAATGGTAATAGTCAACCAGTTAACCTTTAGCTAGCATTTCTTTGTAAGTTTCATCACCACGTTAGACCCCAGGTTTCTAGGTCATTGACATTAGATACCCTCTGGAAAACGTTTAACAAAAATTGTAAGTTCGTTGTTCTTTGTATGGCTGGGTTTACCCCTGCCACACTTACTTTCCTACATCGTGAGAGGTGTGATTCATTAAGCAAACAATGTCATGCTTCGTGAGCGGTACCCTTGTGTCCTTAAATACGTCCCTAGTTAAAGGGCACACTTTTATCTGAATCTGGGAATGAGGCACTTTGAGCCCATCCTCAAAGCTACCACCTCCGCCCCTCCTCTTCTTCCCACTCCCTTTTCCCTTTACACTTCAGTTTTAACGCCACGCAGCTACTTTCTAGAAAATGTGCGCAGGGACAAAGGCCTCCCTCCCCCCAAACCATGTATGTGCGTTTTCGTGTTTTATTTTTTTGCATTTATATGTGTCGTTTTTTTTTTTTTTGGGGGGGGGGGGGGGGGATTCTCATATATTAGTATAGTTAATTGTCGTTCAGCACATAATAATAATTAAAATAACTTTTTTTGCTCCTATAAATAAGGTTAAGACACCCTGCGGCTCGTGTCTACTTACTAATTGTGTATTCGTGTGGTTTTGTTTGATTTGTGTATGTGCTGACGAAGGCTCTATAACCGCAACGTTCATGTTTTGTATGAGTTTGTTATATTATGAAGCTGGCTGATATAATTTTCCAGAAAAAATATAAAACTAAACGAAAAGTATATCAGCAAGCTTTACAATATAACAAACATAAACAAAACGTGAACGTCGCTGTTGTGGCGCCTTAGTCACTTAGCTTAGTATCTCAAAGCAGCCAAGTCGATGCCTTGCCAGTAGACCCTTTTCGTTCGGTTTTATATCCTTCACTGCCTACTGAATTAATAGGAGGAAACTATACTGGCAGCTGTGGCTTCTCTCAAAAGGTGCTTGGAAAGATGACAGGACACAGAAAGTACAGAATTAAACATAACATTGCTCAGTGCGGAGACATGGCGGGAGCTGCAGAAAGGCAGACGAGACAGGACTGCTTACAGTGACTAGGGTTACGGTTATGCCCAATGTTTCTTGTGCGTTAGTCCTTAAACGTGTAGGCTGCACATTGTATTGTGCTTTCCTTCTAGGCTGCTATTTCTGCGCTGTTCAGGACAGCTCATCCGATTTCAGCTAATTCTTAATTAGTCAGCTTTTACAACATAATTACAGTGGAACCTCGCTTAACGAGCATAATTCGTTCCAGAATCATACTCGTTAAGCGAAACACTCGTTGTGCGAAACAAGTTTTCTCATATAAATTAATGTAAAATACGATAATGCGTTCCATGTCGACAACAATACTCACAAAATGCTATGTATAACGTTTATTTAAATAAGATGGTTGTTAAGGAGAGTGAATCATCTTCATCTTTTCTTTAAACGCGGAACCAAGCCACCTGGAATGCGAATTCGATTTGTAGAAAAAAAAAGTCGAAATAATTTTGATACATAACTAATCATTTTTTTTTACTAAAAAGATGCCTAGAGATATTTTTTTGCCGACGCTTCAAAATTTGGCAAAAATGCGACACAGCATAATCATTAAATAAATTTGCAACACGCATAGCCACTTCCTTATTAGGGTGATGCTTCTCAATGTAAGATGCAACAGTTTGCCATGCTTTCAGCATTTCTCCTAATTCGCCAGAAGATTGTTGCTTTTCTGTTACCTCCTCCTCTGACAAACATTCCTTCAAAACTTTTTGCTGTGAAACACAATGCAACTCCATAAGCTCTTCGATGGTCAGCTCTTGGCTGTGCTCATCCACACAAGCTCTTCAATATCACTGTTATTCACCTAAAATCCCATGACAGGGGACAGAGACCCAATCTCGTTGACTTCAGGTTCCCCAGGTACTGTCTCGAACCCCTCAAAGTCACAAATCGACAACTCTCTCCGGCAAAAGCTTCTTCCAAGCAGAAGTTAGGGTTCTCTTGGTAACCCCTTTCCCCGCCTTGCCGATCATCTTGAGGCAGGCAACGATGTGGAAGTGATTTTTCCAAAACTCTTTAAGAACCAGGTTGGTCCCTTCAGTCACCTGAAAACAATGTTGAAAGAGTGCTATAGTGTAGAGTTTCTTAAAGTTAGAAATAACTTGCTGGTCCATGGGCTGGAGTAACGGAGTGGTGTTGGAAGGCAGAAACTGGATCGTGATGAACTTAAATTCTTCAGAGAGGTCATCTTATAGGCCTGGAGGATTCATGTACATATATCACAATATAAAACAACTTTGAGAAAATGAGTTATCACAAGCGACACTACGATGCTAATGGAACGAGAGCTAAACACGGACTGATTTAACATGCGCCAATCCAGGACTTTCCCTCTCCTCGCCACTCGTTATGCTAAACGTCGCTCGTTAAGCTAGTCATTCTTTTTACAGTTTGTCTTGCTCGTTATGCGAATTACTCGTTATGGGAGGTGCTCGTTAAGCGAGGTTCTACTGTATTAGCTGATGCAACCCCCAGCAATTCAACACGGTTTCTGAGTTTTGTTACATTATATACTATTCTTAACCTTCTGTCCCCCATCGAGTAACTAAGTTAACTGACTGCTCCAATTGTTACTTATCATATTCTTTCTCACAATGAGTGTGAGCTTGTCTGTTTAAGACTCGGAAGTGTGTTCGGTAAAATAATAAATACTTAGGATACAATGCGATTAAAGCCTGTGACTCAAAGAGTTAAGGGACCGGGGTCTATCTGTTATTGCCCCAAATGTGGCCCCGGAATCCACACAAGGACATTGTGGGATAAAACGCTAAAGACTAAGAAGAAGTAGAACATACCGGCTGAAGATGACGGATGTGTAAAGTGCTGTTTACCACATTCTAGCGCCAATTTAAACTAAAATAAAAAAAAACAACAACAGGTGAGTTCACCTACAGAGAAAGGTACATACGCAGATTCTTCACAGGATGTGCGTACATACAGGGACATCCGGGCCTGATCTGGATTGCATGTCAAAAAGTACAATTAAATATACTGTTAGCTTCAGAAATGACATTTCGGGGGGAATGTTTACTTCCTTGTGCCATCTGTCACTGTTCAGACTAAGCTGCACCAACCCCCACGTAGTTAGACCGATGCTTGGGTGAAAAGTATAAAGTTTAGGTTTGTCACAGTTGAGGACACTTCACAGAATCTCGTAGGTAATAATACTTCGGCAAAAAATGGAGCACAAAGTAGCAGTTCTGTCCGTGCTGCTGTTAGTAGTGATTCAGTTAGCTTGCATCGATGCTGACACTGCTTCTAGATTAGGTAAGTAGCCAATTTATTTTTGCTGGAATGCAAACTAGGTTTTTACATTGTAACATCTGTCTGGTGCCGGAACGAGGAGATCGTATGAAACCATTTCTAATTAGGTACAAACGTCCATTGAATGGAACCGGCGCAGAATAGAGGGGATTAAACTGTGCAGCAATGTTGTGGAGCTGTCGTAAAGAACAAAACAAAATCAAGGTAACAAAAAATAAAAGCTGGTGCTGGAAAAGATACACGGTGTGAAAACTGAACAATAATATAACTAGATCGTCCTTCCATTTGAGCCTACAGGGCTAAAGGAGCATAGGGAAGTGGGAGAACATATAGAAAAGGTACATTTTTACATCTTCTCCTTCTTTTTCCGCGTTTATCCGAAGCTGTAATCGTGTTGTGTTTGTTTACAGCATGGCTGCAAAGATTGTGCCTCTCGGCCGACACATCCGACTTCTGCGGGTATTTGTTAACCGGTTTAACCTTTTCGGGAAAAGATATATGAGTACTGAGATGTGAGGGGGAATAAAAAAGGGGGGGGGGGCGGGGTGATTAAAACATGGGCGGGTCACACTCGACGGAAAAGGTTTTACAGATTTGACAGAAGAATAAGATCTATCATAATGATGTATGAGTTTAAGGTAACAATCTTTGATACTTTGTCAATGAATTATCATAACACACAAGTGGAACCGACGGAGCCAAGGTAACAATAATGACAGATACATTAGTGTTAGAGAAGAATGGACTATTAGAAACTATGAAAGGTTTACTGATAAAGATAATGGGGTGCTCACACACACACAAACGAGCAAACAAATGCATACAAGCACGGGGGAACATTACGTCGCCAAATTCTTAATAATAATAATAATAATAATGTGCCGAAATACAAATGATGATTATAATTTTTTTGAAATAATATAAAATTATGTATAAGTACTTTTAAAAAAAAGAGAGAATGTCGATACCTGGCCGGTGGAAATGGAGGGGGGGGGGCGCCGTAGTCCGCTTACATTGTTTAAAGCTTGCCTGAACCCCCCCCCCCCCCCTTACCAAAAAAAAACGCTACTTAAACGTTCTCCCCCTCCCCCCCCCCCCCCCCTCGGAGGTTCTGGTGCTAATTTTATAATTAATTTATAAACCTACAGTGAGTTGCTTGGTACCGAAAGAGTGATGCGTATTCTAACCTGTGTATGTCATGTCTTACATTAATTTTTGAACTGAATCGATATCTATGTCTCCTGCACCAAACATTTCCATTACAGCCCACATCACATTTGATGGAAGCTGTAGAGAGCAAATTCCTGGCATTGTTGACACTTTAGTCCGATCAACGATTGACTATAATACAGATGAAGGTGACGCTATAGTTTATACAAATGGATCTGTAATTCAGAGCAAGCGAAGTGCATCGGCATTCACAGTAAGCTCGAGTGGGAAAACCATCAAGGAGATGAATGGCGTTTTTGCTGTTACAACTAGCAGCCTTACAATGGAAACTGTGGCTGTAACAAGGGCATTCACATAGCTTTGTACTCAAGAGTTCACACACGCGTGCATACCCATTGACTCGATGAATAAGCTGACAATAATTTAGGCTGATTTTGTCAGACCAGAATGGATTTCAACATTAGGCACTTTGCGAATGGCTGGCATAACCTTGATTTGTGTGCAGGGTTATGCGGGTGTTCAAATGAAGGAACGTGCAGATTATCTTACTGACACTGCGGTTGGTATGGCTGGGCAAGTACTGGACAGAAGCGATGTTATCAGTGCCATGTACAGCACTTACCGTGACGACGAGCACGCCAAAGGGCATGTCTTGGTATTACTGTCTATGCTGATTAATATGGGGGTGCAGACGAGCTGCAAGAAACGAACATTTCACTAATTTGGAGTACATGCTCGTTAATAGATTTTGCTTAAAACATACCAGATTTAAGAGTCCCACATTTGTCGTTAACATTTAACTTGAGTTCTAATTTTGTTGTTGTTGTGGCAACTTTTCAAAATAAGAAAATTTAACCTAGATGCAGAGTTGAGAATGGTTTAGGTGACAGCTTAATTATAGAGGGAATTAAATGATAAAAGAGAATCACTAATGTAGAGCTTTGCGAGAGAATTAAACAAGTTTCAGTGGACTAAGGGGGGGGGGGGGGAAGACCCTGATGTTGAACACACCTAAAAACAATATAACTAGAATGTCTTTGCACTGGAACCCACAGGGGCATAGAAATAAAGGCAGACTAAAAACGCATAGCGAAGGCAGCTTGAGAGTGAAGTTGAAAAGATGGGGAGGACATGGGGAGGACATGGGGAGGACATGGGGAGGACATGGGGAGTGTTGCACAATTATTTAAGGATAGAACGATTTGGCGTGGGGTGATTGAGTGCCTATGCTCCCTTTGGGGATAGAAAGCAGAAGAAGATGATATCTGAGCCGCTAAAATAAAACTGTTCACTGCATACATAGAAACGTATTTAGCAGACGATAAAAAATAGTAATAAGCATGTCTTAAGATTCGACAGATTATGACTGACTGACTTTCTACCCCACTAGGACATCACACAAGCGATAAACACCCGATGACACAAAGTGCCACCATGTGGATGAGGATCGCCGTGGAGTGGTCGCAGAAACTGCGTTCAGACAATTGGCCATATTTATGGCCTGCCTATATTGCGGCCCCTGGCGAAAGCCAGGGTGGGGCTTCAAATAACAAATAATTTCGTCCTAAAAAGGACGAAACTGTATATAACCTGAACAGATTATGTGTTTCCTTTGAAGTCGGAGTAATCTGCCTGAGACAGCCGCAAGGAACCAGCAGTTTGCATACAGAGAAGCCAGATCAGTAAAACGGATGTGCATGTAAAACTCAAGTTCTGAAACAAAACTAAAGTCCAAATTTGAGGAACAACAAAACTTTCCACTGGACTCTCCACCGGTGAAGGTGAAGACGAAGAAGAAATCTTTAACCATTTGCAAAAACTTGCATAATTTACGATTATCTACCTTTATCCCTCACAATAAATTTTCTCAATTTCCCAGAACGTAAGTAGTATAAGATGGGCATAATTCGTCACATTTATGGATTAATCCAGACGTATTATGCACCTCTTATACTACTGACCTACATAGATCCTAGCAGCTATAGTGTAGTGGCTAGACAGTCGCATGCCGATCAGGTCAAAGAACCTCAGTTCGAATCTTTATCTTTTTAAAACTTGCCTTGGCTTTAAGATCAACCTAGCCTAAAAACGGGTATCGTATTGTCCTGGGAAGTACAAGTTGCCTGATGATGTTGACTGCATCACCGACCAAATGCTGATTCATTTACACGCGCACACACACACCAAAAGAGGGAGTCCATCCTCATATGCCAGAAGCGCCACTGGCTTTATTTACTTTACTTACATACGCAGATCATGTTTTTCAATTTTTTCCTCATTAAATAATCTTTTCATGTTGCCATTCGGCAATGATAATGATGATTTGCCACATAAAATTGCTTCCCTTCAATTTTAATATAGCTCGAAAACCATGCTATTAGATATATAGTTAATGACTTCAAATATGCCTGGCTCTCTAGCGTAGTTGGCTAAACCGGATTGCGCGGTGACCGGGTGACGAACTCCTTATCGTCCGGGCTCACTCCCGGGGGTAGGCAGAAAAGCCACATTTCACCCAGATTTACGGTATTTATAATGGAATCAAGGCCGAAAGGTTGCGATATCCATAATACCGAGCCTAAGGGTTAACAACTCGTGGCTTCTGGATACTAAAACAACAAACGTGACTACAAATATCTACACACAGTAAGCCAAGTAGTGGGAATGAATTCAGATCAGACTGTATCCGAGACTATCTCAGAACATTCGTGTGAAAGGAGAGAGGAAGACAAAGGAAGAGATGGATAAACAGTCTTAAAAACTCTAGATCTTGTGAGCACAATTGTGTAGACTGTTTCATTCAGTATAAATCCAACTACATTCGTTTTTCTATTAACATTTATGTGTAATATCAGTATAAGATTAAATATTACAAAATGCCATTTACAATCCTCGACGCAACAGCCTTGGTTTCCGAGGCGAAAAGTTTTAAAAAGTCGTTTTCGTGGCTTTCGTACAGTGGTATGAGAATAGCACCGTGGAAGCATTTTAGACCTCACTACTCAACATTCCAGTCAGGAGTGGATACACAAATACACGACAAACAGTTCCTATTGCAGAGACACACAACCAACCATAAAGTCTCAGTGTGAAAAAATATTTAGTGTTTTTGAGTCTAACAATGTTCATGTTATTTATAGTTCCAGGTCGATGTCGCCCCCGCACATGCAAACTATATTGTCGATATGGATTTATCATGGATTCAAATAACTGCCCCACCTGTTCCTGTAGGATCCTACCCAGGCCAAAACCAAGCCAGTGTGGCCCCGTGTGCATGATTTTCTGCCAATATGGCAACATCTTGGACTCCAGAGGCTGTCCCACCTGCAAATGCAAGCCTGGACCTGCAGCTTAATTCCGATCCTTGGTTGCCATTTTTGAAAAGTTGACTTCAGACCAAATATTATTTTGTTTTGTTCCTAAATTCAGAAGGAAAAAAAAAAACACAAATTTTATCTGGTTTTAAAAAATCACAAATAAGGTGAATTTTTGGGATCATTGTTGCAATCTTTCTTGAAATTACTGCAAATACATAATTGTACGCACCATGTGATTTGTTTCATTGTGTATTTAAGAAATAATGAAGACCATGCGAAAGTTGTATTTTTGTTGTTGTTGAAAAAATCAGTGTCTGATTTCCACAGCTGTAGGAAAATTATATAGCAGACATCTGGTTCCTTACTACGATTTGTTAATGTTTAGTTCAAGGTATGTTCAATGTATGTTGTCGCGAACACTTGCTGAAGGCTTCAGCATAAAGGTGCTGATTTCTCGTTGACTCCGCTGCCTATCTAGAGATTCTAATCGGAACAGTGCTATGTGAAAACCATCATCATCATCATCCTGTAACACTGCGTGTCGTTGGGTCACCAGTTTCTGTTGACTGTCTGATCAGCTCTCTTCACCTTTGACGGTCAGCTGCGATGGACTTTATGGTTGCATGCATGAGGCCTGTCCATTCAGTCAGGCTCTGTAATCAGGTCTTTCTTTGTCTTCCTCTTCTCCTCTTTCCCTATATTGAGCCCTGCAGTATTGTTTTTGAGAGGCCGTTAGATCTTATTACATGTCTATACCATTGCATTTTTTGCCTTCTCATTGTAGGTAAAAGAGGTTCATAGTTGCCAATGTGCTGTATAATTTTATGGTGAACCCCTTTGTTTGTAATGAGGTCTCTGTATGATACGCAAAAACAATGCAAGAGCTTAACCAATACAGAACAAGGGTCGTCAGCGTAAACAGACTAATGAACATGCTCGAGAGAAGATCCAAGCACTTTATACCTTCTAAAATGAACAACGAACAGTTATGGGGTAGCAGTGACATAAAGCCTACCACATGACTACTACTCTTTTTTTTCATATTGTTATGTCAATAAATATGTATTATACATTGTTTGCTTGAAATCTGTCTGTGGTATTCAACACAACTTCACTATCATCATCAAGTGCCTTGCCAGATGGTGTTGGCGTTCGTGCCTCGCCACAGATCTCGAAGGTGTTCTGGATCAATTCTAGTGATGATATTCCTCTATGCCACTGTCTTAAACTATACACCATCAGTTCTCTTTGTCTTCCTCTGCCTTTTCTACCAGTGATCTTTCCAGTCGTCGCGATATTTTCCAGGGCTCCTGTTTTCATCACATGACCAAAGAACTTTATCTCCTTCTCATCTTGACTATATTGCTCTGAACTGTCTGGACTTTGGGATGCAGATGTGCTGAGCCCACACACACGATGGTGCACCGAGGTCGAGACTGGTCCAAACCTATCTACGTATCTCCGCCTACTCATGGATGTACAGGACAAGAACCCTGACCTAATCGGTGAATCTAGAGATTGTGTAAGACGTGGAACAATGGCACCCTACGCTTAGCGGCGTGGGACATGATAATGATGAAGTGACTTTTTTCTAGCATTGTCTTCCTTTTCCGTTTCCCTTATACATTTCTGTATGGGTCTTCTTACTGTGCTTCTTTTGTTGAAGAATATTAAATACCGTTAATAGTTTTTGTATACAGATGAAAATTACTATTTTCTGTACAATGGAAAGACAGAAGTAATGGTAATATCAAAGAAAAGGACAGTGCCTAAATGTGTTTTAAAAAGTCATACGTCTTAATTTAGGGCAAGTACATAAATTAAAGTACCTGTCATATAGATAACATCCGGCGGAAGATGATTCACAGAGATAACATCCGGCGGAAGATGATTCACAGAGATAACATCCGGCGGAAGATGATTCACAGAGATAACATCCGGCGGAAGATGATTCACAGAGATAAAGAACATAACAGGACAGGCTCAAACTGTATTTTATAAAACGAAGAACATATTGTGCTACAAATCCATTTTGCTGGAGGTTAGGAAAAGACTGACTGACTGATTTTCTACCCCACCAGGACATCACACAAGTGATAAACACCCGATGACACAAAGTGCCACCATGTGGGTGAGGATCACCCGTGGAGAGGTCCCAGAAACCGCGCTTAGCCTTTAGGCCATATTTATGGCCAGGCTATATTGCGGCCCCTAGCAATAGCCTTAGTAGGTCTTCAAATAACGAAAAATTTCATACTTAAAAGGACGAGAAGTAGATAGATAAGTTAGGGAAAGAATTCTCAAATGCTATATAGAGCCAGTTTTAGCATAGTGCTGTGAATCCTAGACAATAAATTTACAAGCCAAACTTTTTGAAGCTTACGAGATTTGGTTTGACAGAAGAATCCCTAGAATTCCCTGGACAGCCAAAAAGAGCAACCCAGATATTGTGAAATAGGCGAGGGTTCAAATACGACCTATCTTACGCACACGCGCGGGCGCGCACACACACAACACACAAATAAGCACGAAACAGTCGCCATTTCGGTCGTGCTATGAGTAGATGGAAATTAGAACACCGAGTACCCACTGGAAAGATCTGTGAAAAACAAAAGACAGGGAAAGACAACCCAAGACTCTTCTTAAACAATTTCAAAAAAATCGAATGCAAACTCGAACCAGATAAACAAACTATTTCACAAATAATAAAAGCCTATTATTTATTTTTAAAAGGAAGGAGGAAAAGGGGTGGGGACAGCTTCTTCATTTTCTGTAATACACCAAACTATACATTTCTGGGCACTCTTGAGACCACCGAAATAACGTGGGATGGGGGGGGGGGGGGGGGGGGAGGGGGATTTCACAGGTACTGATATTCTTGACGACTGAATCTCGAGGGGTACTGGTTCATACAGCCTGTATACAGCAACCGAAATCAGTTGACCAAATAAAATGACTTACGTTGAGAACTGACTTTAGCAGTCAGCAAATAGTTCCAGTGTCTGATTGCATGTCATTTCTTCTGTAAAAAAAAAAGTAAAAAGTAAAGGACCCTTTTCCACGCTTTTAGGCGTATAGGGCTAGACCTGTATTCTTAAAGACCAAACGGCACAAGATGGGTGATGTGGTCCGCGTCACGCCGGCCTCCTTTACTTCCCGGGACTGCACCTGGTACCTACTCAAGGCTAGGTCGACCTGGGAGTCAAGGTCATTTTTGAACAAAGTCCGGCTCCGCCAGGGAGCGAACCCATAACCTTCTCGTCCGCACGCGAGCGTCTAGCCGCTACGCCACGACGACTACCCCGTTTCTTTTTTGTGCTGAGTATCAACCAAAACACCCGGTGATTCCTTGTTGCACTATCCTTTCTAGACCATTATGTTTTCGTACTGGCGCATCGTTCACTTGCTCCCAAAGAACCTTGATTATATCAAGCTTGCTGTGTCCAGTTGACCATTTAGCGGTGTAGAACCAGCCAATATGTCTGCCTCTTTATTTCTCAACACATCTGCATCGCCAGGAAATAAGATCACAAGTAACGCTTGGGATTTCTGGAGCGATCCTTTGCTAATCGTCTCGGAGCATACCTTTAACCTTTCCCAGCATGCTTTATGTGACTGTCACAGTCACGACCCCAATGTGCAGCTGCCTTGTTTCAACTGCATAATAATTTGGGGAGAACAACTATGGAAGTTAATGGTTCCTGTTGAAGTTTCAGTACAGTCACGCCTGAACAAAGCTAGAGCTGCTTTTGGATGTATGAGGCAAATCTGGAAATCCAACAGTTACTGCAGAGACACAAAACTTCGATTCTACAAGAGCATCATTTTGCCAGTTCTTCTTTATGGAGCGGAATGCTGGAGAATGACCAAAAAGGATGTACACAAGCTGTCCACCTTCCACCACCCATGTCTACGTAGAATTATCAAAATTTTCTGGCCAGATACAATCTCAAATACTAAACTACTTCAAGTCACAAACCAAGAAACTCTAGACAGTATGATAACCAAGAGAAGATGGAAATGGCTTGGCCACGTTATGAGAATGAATCCTGATATACCTGCCAAAACAGCTCTCACATGGAGACCAGAGGGATAGAGAAAGAAGGGGCGCCCAAAAAACAACATGGAGACGAACGATGGAAAGTGACCTGAGTGTGATATCTTTGACATGGAAAACTGCATTGAAGATTGCACAGGACAGGAAAGCATGGAAAGTCCTCTCTGAAGCCCCATGTGCCATTAGGCATAACAAAAACTGATGATGATGATGGTTAATGGTTCCTGAAAGTTTATGGTGTTTTTTTTTTCAGACAACACAGGTTATGAAGAAATTATGGGGAGACATGGTCTAGGAGTAATGATTGAAAATGGAGAATTGTTCACAAATTTTTGTGCAGGTAACCAGTATGTTATTGGTGGAAGTATTTTTCCCCATAAAAGTATACACAAGGCAACATGGGAATCACCAGACCATAAGACAACTAATCAAATTAACCACATATGTGTTAACAAAAAGTTTAGATCATCCCTTTACGGTGTTAGGGCTTTCAGATGTGCTGGTGTATTTACTGGCCATTTCCTGGTGTTAAGTAAAATCAAGTTGAAACTAAAAAGACATATAACATCTTATAATCATAGAAACCAATATAATGTAGGCTTTCTTGGAGATAAAGAAATTAAGGAACAGTTCTCAGTTACGGTCTCTAATAAGTACCAGGTGTTGCAGCAGTTAGCTGAAGATGTCAACACAGAAGTCTGCTGGGATCAGATCAAAGGAATCTGAAATGAATCTTGCGTAGAAGTTCTTGGCAAGAAAGAAAGGAAACATAAAGCATGGATAACACCAGAAACCATTAAACTGATTGAAGATAGGAAAAGTAAAAAGGCAGAATTAAACAATAGCAAAACTAGAGCTGCTAAAGCTAGAGCTCAGGAGAAATACACAGAAGCCAACAAGGAAGTTAGGAGGCATATAAGGGCAGATAAAGTGAAATATCTAAATGATCTAGCACAAGAAGCAGAGACAGCAGCAGCAAAA